GAATTCGATTCACCTTATGTTGTTTGTATAAAATAAATAGGGTGGTGCTTGCATGCAAATCCAGAAGTTTCCTATTGTCCAAGTCACTGACAGCATACAATAGGCTGACAGGATTACCAGCTGCTTTCTCAGCCTCAGGTTTCCATGCTGTAAAGCCTTTCCAGAAGGTCTGAGCCCTTGCAGTATCAGGCACTGGATAAATTACCTCCCCCGACCCCCAGATTAATAGCTTCCTTGAGGTATAATTTACATACCACAAAAGTGAGGTATGTGATTCAGGGGTCTAGTTCACATATCGTAGAATAATAAATTCACCCATTTTGAGTGAACAATCCAACAATTTTTACTGTATTTACAGAATCGTGCGACCATGACCCTCATCTAATTTAGAATATTTTTATCACCTCCAAAAGGAACCTCATGTCCTTTATAGCTACTTTCTATTTCCACACCCAAACCCTACTCTCCTGTCTGTATGGATAGGCCTTTTCTGGACTATATATAAATCAAATTATATGTATTTTTTTCATATCTGGCTCTTTCTGCTTTGTGTGATATTCTTGAGGTTTATTCATGTCGTAGCACGAATCAGTACTTACTTAATTATATGGGTGACCTACTATTCTATCATGTGGATGTACCATATTTTGTTTATTCGTCCATTGGTACCCATTTGGGTTGTCTCCATGTTTGGGCCATTACCAATAGTGCTACTGAGAACATGCCTGAGAAAGTCTTTGTACAGACATATGTTTTCTTTCTTTCCTCCTGGGTAGATCCCAAGAGTGAAATTGCTGGTCCATGTGGCAACTCCATGTTTAACATTTTGAGGACCTGCCCAGCTGGTTTCCAAAGCAGGTGCACCATTTTACATTCCCAACAGTAGTCCTTAAGGTTCCAAGTTCTCCACATGCTCACCAACACTTGTTACTGCTTGTCTTTTTATTTACACCATTCTAGTGGCTGTAAAATCACATCTGTGATTTAGATTTGCATATCTCCAATGAACAACAGCGTCTTCTCATGTACTTGTTCGCCTTTGGTATATCTTCTTCTGAGAGGATGAACTGCCTTTTGGTCATTATTTCCTTGAATTTCGGTACTTGCAATCCAATTTTATAGATGAGAAAATGGAAGAATGGAAAATTTGGGGGTACTTGCCCAAAGACACCCAGCTTGTAAGTGCAAGAGTCAAGATGATTAAATTTGTTTTGAAGATGGAGTGGGTTAAGAGATGAAATTGTGCAACACAGATTAAGAACATACCTTGTGGCCCCAAATGTTAAAGTTTCTGCCTCCTGAATCCCCTGATTAAGCAATGGCTAAGACTTATTTTAAAAATAAATAAATAAAGCTCGGTGCCTGACTGACTCAGTAGGTGGAGCACACAACTCTTGATCTCCAGGTCTTGAGTCCAAGCCCCACATTGGGTGTAGAGATTGCTTAAATAAATAAGCCTTAAAGAAGATCTTTTAAAAATAAATAAGGGAGCTCATAATATGCAGTTACTTTTTCTCTGGACTAATGCAGACTGTGGTTCCTCCTTTTTTTTTTTTTTTTAAGAAGCAAATGGCACCAATCCTTCTTTTCTAAGGAAACCCTATGGGCTATTTTAGCCTGCATCCTTCTCCTCCCCAGTCTTTATAAGGAAGGGTTTGTGCTGAAGTCCTAGTTGAAGTTTCTGCAGCTTTTATTTTTTGTTCCTTCCATTTCTCAAGGGTCCCTCCCCATGGCTGTGGTCTCCATTTTGGGGGTGCTCATTGCTCTGTGCTAGCTGCATTCCAACACCTGGACGCTGAGGAAGATGGGTGGTTTAAATCCACCTCCGTTTGCTGCTCCAAATGCTCATTCTGTGTTACTGAGCTTGGCAAATTCTGGGCAGCACTGGACAGGGTTTCACAACCAGTTGTTTTTACTTCAGAGGATTCCTAAATGCATCTCTGCAGTTTTCTCCTTATTAGGAAAGAAGCAAGCTTCAAATTCCTATAATCTGTGCAATCCTGACTAACCTCCTTCAAGCCTCGGTGAAAGATCGTAACAGTTTTTATGGAAGGTAAAGTCACCCTGGTAGAATTTTCCAGGCTGAACCTGTGCAGCCGTTTTTAGCTGCTCTTGCGACTTCTTGGGGCTCCTTCCTGGTGTGTGAAACTCCAGTGTCTGCAGTGTCATGAATCAGGCAAAGGCAAGGCGAGGGTTGGGGTTTATGGCTGTCCTTGTTTCCTGGTCTGAAGCCATAAAAGGGAAGATTAGGTAGGAGTGGAAATGAAATCACGGACAAGGCAGGATCGGGAAGGAAATTACTTACAATGATAGGTCACTATTGGCAAAATGTGGGTCCTGAGAGTAGAGACCTTGCCTTGTTCTGAAGGTCATAGGTTCACCCAACACAGCTGAATGCATAGTACTGCTGGAAACAGCTCTTTTTTTTCCCTTTTTTAAAGATTTTATCTATTTATTTGAGAGACAGAGAAAAGCAAGAGAGACAGAACACAAGCAGGGTGAGGGGCAGACAGAGTAGCAGACCCTCTGCTGAGCAGGGAGCCCAACACAGGGCTTGAACCCAGAACTCCAGCATCAAGACCTGAGCCAAAGGCGGATGCTTAATGACTGAGCCACCCAGGCCCCACTAAGCAGCTCAGTCTTTTCCCAGAGTGTGTGGAGTGTTTTCAGCTTCTTCCAAAACCGTCTCCTGTAACAACAGCCTCTTCCCTTGTTAGGCTTCGTGCTCATTGCTGAACTTCCCAGCTGTCTGTGTGCTGATGTGCTGGCAGTAGTTGCCGATCAGCTGCATATTGATCCCGGCAGCACGCATGGCACGCATGGCACGCAAGGCCCCAGACAGTTGGTGTCCCTTGGCCAGACACTTCTGGCTGAGAGAGCTTTGTATACATATATATATATATTTTTTTTTTGGACCATATTTTTTACAAGTGCCAGACACATGATTGTTTTCAGTATATGTCACAGGGTAAAAACTGTGCGAAAGTATTCCCTTATTATGCCATCCCATGTTAGACCCTAGATTTCAGAATCTCAGAGAGGCAAGCTTTCCATTTGGTCATAAAATGTAGGGAAGAGCTGAATCCAATAACAAAGCATGGATCTTTAAGTAGCATCGTTGTCCAATGTTAATTCTATAAAATGGAGATATCTCGACTTTCTAGATGGCCCCAATGTTGGCAATTCTGTTGATGTCAATAATGTACGTTTTTCTCAAAGAAGAAATTCTATAGAACAAATGCTTTCTCGAGGAGAAAGCAGAAGATTTAAGACTGATGTTTCATGGATTGAGTCATTTAAGCCTCACAGAAGTCCTATGAGGGAGGGGTGCGTGGGTGGCTCAGTCAGTTTAGTGGCTGACTCTTGGTTTTGGCTCTGGTCATAATCTCAGGATCCTGGGATCAAGTCCTGAGTCAGGCTTGGTGTTCAGCAGGGAGCCTACCTGGGCTTCTCTCTCCCTCTGTCCCTTCCCCTGCTCATGCTCTCTTTCTCTCAAATAAATCAATCTTTTTTTTTTAAAGGAATAGTCTAAGAGAGGTAGATATTATTACCTCCAATTTGCAGGTGCAGAATCTGATACTTGAGAAGGTAAAATGACCTCACCTAGGTTTGTTGACCCCCTACTTCACGATCAGTTTAATCCACTAGGCTGCCCTGCAGAAATTCCCACAGCTGAAGCTGTGCATTTAATGGAAACATGAGTTTGAAAAAAGAGACAAACCAAAAAAACAGACCCTTAATTATAGAGAGCAAACTGATGGTCACCAGATGGAAGCTGAGTGGGCTGATGGGTGAAATACGTGATGGGGATTAAGAGTACGTTAGTTGTGATGAACACTGAATAACATATGGAACCACGGAGTTGCTGTATTGTACACCCGAAACTAATACAACATTGTATGTGAACTATACTGGAATTAACATTTTTTTAAAAAAAGAAAACATGACTGATTATTTAGAAAATGTTTAAAGATCTTAATGAGTTTTTAACCTTTTCTTTTAAACTCATTTCAAAATTATTATACTTACAAGAATAATTTAGAGCTCTCTGGTACCCTTTACTCCCACATCCTCCAACCCATAACATCTTACCATGTTGGCCTTATTTTATTCCCTCTCTCTTTTATTTATTTTTCCTACACCATTTGCCAATTATTCCTTACTATTTCAAGCAGTGTTTCCTAAACGCAGTCATCTCTTACATGACCGTAGCACAACCATCCAGTGAAATGTCATGATTCTTCAAACCACAGACCCTATTCCAGTCTTACTGGTGGTACTGAGAACATCCTTCCTAAACTAGGATCTGATTAACGATCTCAAGCTGCACTTAGCTGTCATACCTCTTTAATCCCCTTTAATTTGGAACAACTTCTCAGAAAATTTCTGTCCCCGCAGATCTTATCATTTTGAAGACTGCAATTTTGATGTTTCCTCATGATTAGAGTCAAGGTATGCCTTTTGGGCAAAGGTACCAGAGAAATGAGGCCGTGCAGGCATGCAATGTTACTGAAGGGACTGTTTTTGACAAGGTGGGCAGAGTGGAGGGAAACCATAAAGTGCATGGTAATACCCAGAGCCAGTGATAATGGGACTATTACCATTTCTAGGCCTGGAAGAAGGAGTGGTTGGAAAAAGTGCTGTGAACTGGGCCCCTTTGAGGAGAGCTTCGGTCTAAGGAAGCAGCTATCCTGCTGTGACTGGCAAGAGAGGAGCTGGGGAGCAAACACCTTGAGGTCTCTCTCATGCCCTCATTGGCAAACCCAACCAGAGCCAGAGCTGCTTAATAAGCTCCCCATAAATCAGCCCTCCTGCAGGATGGAGAACAGAGGGAGGGATCTGAAAGGACCAAATGGAGGGGTGCCTGGCTGGCTCAGTTGGTAGAGCATGTGACTCTTGATCTCAGGGTGTGAGTTCGAGCCCCATGTTGGGTGTAGAGATCACTTAAAAATAAACAATCTTTATTTATTTATTTTTAAATTACTATTATTATTTTTTAGGCAGGCTCCATGCCCAGTGTGGAGCCCATCGTGGGGCCTGAACTCACAACCCCGGGATCAAGCCCTGAGCTGAGATCAAGAGTCAGACACCCAATCAGCTGAGCCACTCAGGTGCTCCCACAACAACAACAAAAATTTTTAAATAAATAAAAGGACTGCATGGGAGCTATTCAACACTGTTTTTCAAGTTTGGGAGCGGGGTTATGTTGTGGTGGAATTCTCGCAATAGTGTATCAAACCCCAGTCAAATAAAACAGTCATGTGGATGGCCTCAGACCTAGTCTCCCGGAGAAAGGAAAGCTTGAAAAAAAAAAAAAAAAGAAAGGAAAAGAAACTTAGCAAAAGTCACTGGGACAGCAGGTGTCTAAGGATTGCGAAAGGCTGGGAATCCAGGAAGCATGAGGCAAGATCTGAACACCTGGTGTCCCCAAGTCAGAACAGAGGAAGGAGAACCTTGGGCGTGGGGAATTGTTCTCTGCAGAAAGAGGAGAGAGAAGATGGTTCACGGGGCCTCTGGGCTCCAGATTCTTACCAAGCACCTGGTAATTAGTTCAAGGGCCAGGCCTCAGGAACCCTGTTCACCTGGAGCCAAGAGTTACCTGGATCATGTCTTCTGCTTGTGACCAGTCAGAACATGCAGCAGTGTGGTCACCTGCACAGGGGAGGGAGGGATGGAGATTGGAAATCAATCATAATACGAGCTGCAAGGAAAATATTTGTCCAGATGGTTTTTCTGAGCTATAGAAAGAAAGCAGTGGAAAGGAAAGAATTTCCATAGTGTTTCTGACGTAGGTGCTTTCTCAACACTGTTGACCGATTGAACTTGAAACAGAAAAAAGAAGTGCTGGAGAAAAGGAAAGCCTGCGTCTCCCTGGAAGTGAACCCAGGCCCACTTCCTTCTCACAATGGTTCCATGGAGCCATCTGGGTGCTGATGCCTTCCTGGGCCTGCCTGATGGGGCACAGGATGGCAAAGTGGCTCACTATCCAGTCCCAGGTCACACCTCCCCACTGAGTGACCCTGGACGGGAGATCCCTGAGTCATAATTCCTCGCTGGGCAGATAAGGGTGATGGCCCCAGATGCCAGCAGTCATCATACCCGTTGATAACACACATTCTGCTTGTCTCTGTGGGTGTTCCCTCTCTCCTCATCTGCTCCACGTTACAAGTGGCTGGCACTCAGCTCCCCGTTGATAAGCGCGAAGAGTTTTTGAATTTTTGAATTTTTGACTTCCTGTTCTGTTTTCTCTTGACTCCTTTTCTTCTGGGCATTGCTGACTGGCAGAAAGGAGAGGTGGCCGGTTGGGTCGTGGCCCAGAGTGGCTGGTGCCAGGAACCAGAACAGAGACACCCTTAGCAATCCGTCCCCTTGAGGAAGCGAGTAGGCTCTGCACGTGGCACTGCAGCGCATTTAATCACAAGGGATAATAACCTGTAAATATTAGTTTTTCTAGGACTCCTGATCCCCATTCACCTAGAAGACTCACCTAGCAGAGTTTTTCTGGGAAAAGGACCATGACTCATTTCATTCATTCATTCATTCATTCATTTTTGGTGAAGAATTGTAGAACATGGGAAAGTGCACAGATCAGTAGTGATCAGCTTGATAAAATTTCACAGACTGAACACACTCAAGTAACAACCATCAAGACCCAGAACATGATCTGCATCCCAGTCACTACCCTGATGTCTAATGCCATAGATTACTTTGACCTGTTTTTGTCCTTTCTATATATGGAAATAAACAGCCTGTACTCTTTTTCTGTCTGGCTTTTTTTTTTTTTTTTGGCTCAATATTATGTCTGTGAGATTCATTTTCTGTGTTGCAAACACAATATATTTTTTCCCCTCATTGCTCTGTAGAGAGAAGGAGGGGCATGAAGTGAGGAGGGATGATTTTGTCCCCCCCACACCAAGGGAACATTTGGAGATATCTGAAAATATTTTTGGTTGTCACAACTTGCAGTTGGAGGCAAGGGGGTGCTACTGTCATGTAGTGGGTAGAGGCCAGAGATGCTGTTAGACATCCTACAATGCACAAGACAGCCCCCACAACAATGCAGATTCAACCCAAAATGCCAGTAGTGCCAAGGTTGAGAAACCCTGATGGGCATTTGGGTTGATGGGCATTTGGGTCTGTTGTGAACATGGCTGTAGTGAATACTGAGCTGTAGGTCATTTCATAAACATGTACACATTTCTGTTGAGTAAATTCCCAGGAATGGTATTATTGGGTCATAGGATCTGCCTGTGCTCAGCTCTGGAAGTTACTGCATTTTCCAGAGTTTTTTCCATTCGCACTTTGACCAGCAGCATGTGAGGTTCAGGTTGTCCCACATTTGCCCCCAATAATTAGTATTTCTGTTTCTTTCTCTCTTTTGGGGGGGTTGTTTTTTATTTTTATATATATTTTTAAAGGTTTTATTTATTTATTTTAGAGAGAGAGAGTGCATGTCAGCAGGAAGGGGAGCAGAGGGAAAGAGACAAGCAGACTCCATGCTACCCATGGAGTATGACTCAGGACTTGATCTCATTACCCTGAGATCATGACCCAATCTGGAATCAAGAGTCTGACACTTAACTGACTCAGCCACCCAGGCACCCCTGAGTTGTTGTTTTTAAATCTCTCTCATACCCTTCTTCTAATTCAGTTTATGTCACATTAGATACCCAAAACATCAGTGTTTCTCAGTAAGTAATCCTGTTCCATCTTTTGCAGGAGACTGGAATTATGCACAGGTGTGCTTGCTGTATACAGTAAATTAGAGAAGGGATTTGGGGCAGGACCCCTTGCAGCTAGAGCTTTGCTCTCTTTCTTTTTTTAGAGGTGGGGGGTAGGGGCAGAGGAGAGGGAGACAGAGAATCTCAAGCAGACTCCCTGCTGAGCATGGAGCCCAAGGTGGGGCCTAATCTCACGACCAGAGATCAACCCGAGATGATGACCTGAGCTGCAATCAAGAATCAACCACTTACCTGACTGAGCCACCCAGGTGCCCCCTGGGCTTTTTTTCTCGCTTAAATAGCAGTATTAACACATTTCTGTATGTCCATTTTCTTCCATTCTTCCTGGCTAAATTACTTAGTCACAGGAAAAGAGATCAAGTAGGGTCATTGAGGAAAAACAAAATCAAAGAGTTTGGTCTTTGATCTATTGTTTCTCAAACAGTTGGTTCCAAAAACTTGTTAGAAACATAGATTATTGGCGCACCTGGATGGCTCAGTTGGTTAAGTGTCCAGCTCTTGGGTTCAGCTCAGGTCATGATCTCAGGGTCATGGGATCGAGCCCTGAGTCTAGCTCCACACTCAGTCAGAGCCCACTTGAGTTTCTCTCTCTTCCTTCTGCCCTTCCCTCTCCCACTCAATATATAAATAAATCTTAAAAAAAAAGAAAAGTGGACTATTAAATTCTACCTGGGATTTACTGACCGCTTGGGGTGAGGGCCCTTGCAACCTGTATTTTTACAGCCCCTCCAGGTGTTGGGATGCTTGGCAGAAGTTTGCATACTTTTGACCTGGAAAATCCTTATCCCCAAGCCACAGACACACCTAGTTTGGCTACATACTTATAGAAACAAATGTTTTGGTTCTCCAGGGTTAAGCAATTCACTTCCATATGTAAATTCAGATGAAGTGTACCTTCATCTTGGAATATTAATTTGCTGTGGCTTATTTGGGGTAATTTTGTTTTCATTGCCTAAACCTCCAAATTTCAGGATCTTCATATTTCCAATTGCTACATTTATGCTACCAGAACATTGCCGCCTATCTACGCATGCTTGGACATTTGCCTATTTGAATATGTATATGCTATCTCTTGCAAGTATTTGCGTAGCATTCTTAAGTATCCAGGAAGTGTTTCCATGATACCTTTGCTCCATCAAAATCAGATGCAGATCACTTCAGTTCACACTGCCGTGGTTCAGTCTAACATAACCATCCCTTGGACCTGCTCTCTAGGTTTTAAAAATCTGCATATTAAACTTCTTCCTTCCTCTGAGATGAGAGTTTGAAATAATGCTTTGGGTTCGGTGATCTAGACAACAACTTCTTCTGTTGCTAATTAGATGAACAGTACAGAAAGCAAAATGATTGGGTCTCAGGAGAGGTGGATTTTCCCCAGAGAACCCCATCAGAGGACTCTTCAGTTATGGGAGTTGTTGTTTTAGTTGAAGAGGTGTTTTGTAAATGTCTTCTTTCTTCTTCTCTTTAACATTGTGATTCATCATGAAAAAGAAAACCAAAAACCTCCATTTGCAAACTATCTGGCCACCAGAACAGAATTATGTAGTTGGCTGTCCAAAGTGAATTGGATTGTCACCATTCTCTACTTTACTTGTGAATTGCTCTTACTTCAAGGGAAAAACATATTCCCCAACATGTTATAGTTAAGAGTGAGTCCCTGAGTCATTTGACCTGCTTCAATAACAAAGGACACCACACAAAAATGTCCTTCCAAAGGACAGCCATCAGCGAGCCCAAGAAATGATAACATCTCACCTCATTCACCCAACCTTTTCTGCCACGGGACTTACGCTTTCAATGTTACTTTGATAAACTTCATCAGACTCTGTCCTTATGGGGCCCTTCCTGCTGTTATTTAACATTTTAAATGTAGTATGCCTGCACAAGACTGTGTCCCCTCCATTTCTTTCCCAAGTAAAGGACAGAAGTTAATTGAGAATGGAAAAACAATTCCCAGAACAATTATGAAACTATAATGAAGTTTGCATAAGTACATGCAATTAAGCAAAGAAAAGGTGTGTGAGGAGGTGCCACTTCAAAGAGTTTAGTGCCAATGTGGTACGTTCATAGTGAGGTCTCTGTAGGTGTACACGGAGACAGGAGAGCAAAAAAAAAAAATGGATTACTGGAACAGTAAAATCACAAATCATGGAGGGCTCTCCTATGCTGTGCTAAAACACAAATTAAAACAATGGGCAAAGATAGATTTTTAACACTCCTTTTTCCATCACTGAAAACTGCCCTTTTCATCTTTGTCCCTAAAGATCTTACTTACTCATTCATGAGAGGCAGAGACATAGGCAGAGGGAGCCTGAAAACTGTTCTTTTCAAATGCCCGGATGATTCTGGACCTGTTCAACAAGCATTGAACGCAGCGTATGCCAAATGGCCCACCCGCCAGAACAGAAGACTGAGTTGCTGGGGAAGAAGTCCACCTTCTAACCACGACCCGTACTCTGAGGTCACAGTTGGCTGAAAGGGAGGTTTTTATCTGCTGCTATGCCAGAGAAGTTCCAGATTCACAACTCTGCCTGGGAAATTTCCCTGCATTGGGCTTTCTTGTCTCTGTACTGCTCTGCTGTTGTCATCTCTCCAATCCGAATGGCTTCTCCATGTTCTGAGTGTCAAAATCCACCCACTGGAAGCCCTTTCTCCCCATCCTCCAAAGGAGCTTTTTCCCCTCTGAGCGCTCAGAACACTTCGTGGATATCCTCTCATTTGGAACTGATCCACAGTCTTCTGTGTTTTTGCAGGTTGTGTACGTACATACAGATGTAATTTCCTACAGGACAGGGGCCATTCCGCACACTTCCTGGATACTGTCACCCTTACTTAGTGGATTCACCATTCACATCCTGAATTATAGCTCATTTTAATGAAAAGGGACTATAGAGAATATCCTTTTTAAAGATGAAGCAAGTAGGGACCTGAGATCACGTACTCGGTAAAAGTCAGAGAAATGACTAGAATCCAGGTGTCCCGATTTTTGCACCATGCCAATTGGTAATATTGGGAGGGTTTGAAGCGGGAAAGTAGGTTCTGGTCTCATGGAGTCGAAGAATGAATCTTGAGGACGAAAGAGAGTAAAACGATAGAATTTTGTTCAGTGAGGCTAGAGAAAAAGCTCTCAGAAGTGAGAGGGGTCCTGACAGGGTTGCCACTGGGGGTTCTATAGGGCTGGTCTTGTATTGAAAGCCAACCAAGGAACCCAAATCCTTTTAACACCTCTATGGATACCACCATTGAGTAAGGACTAGGGATAGCACCTTCAATGGCTTGCTTCCTTTTTAGTGTCTGGTAATTCTTCGTTGGTCGTAAGTAGCTGTTATAACAAGACCCCACCTCTGACACCTGGGCAGGATGGTCTGCTTTATTTATCTCTGATTTCCTTTCATCTCCATGTTTTTGGGATTTTTGTGAGCCTGATTCCATGTTCCCCTATCTGTCTCTCCCTACCTTGCCTCTGTCCTACTCAGGTTCATGGGCAGCCCTTCTTCTTTCATTTTTTTAAGTTTTTTTATTTATTCATTTGGCAGAGAGAAAGAGAGCACAAGTGAGAGCACGAGCAGAGGAGAGGGAAGAGGGAGAAGGAAAAGCAGACTCCTCACTAAGGAGGAAGCATGACTCGGGGTTGGATCCCAGGACCCCTAGATCATGACCTGAGCCAAAGGCAGACACTCAACCCACTGAGCCAGCCAGGTGGCCCTGGGCAACTCTTCTTATCACACAAGTGAAAACACAGCTTGCACGATTTCTCACAGAAATTTGATTGAAAGTTGTGCATTTTTAAATGTCATTTCAATAAACTATCTGGTCAGGTTTTTGTTTGTCAAAATAAAAGGTATCAGTTATTCTGTTCCCAATTCCAGTGAGGAGTGATTTTCCGGGAAGCCTGGGTGGTTCAGTGGTTGAGCATCTACCTTTGGCTCAAGTCATGATCCCGGGGTCCTGGGATCGAGTCCCCTATCAGGCTCCCTGCAGGAAGCCTGCTTCTCCCTCTGCCTATGTCTCTGTCTCTCTCATGAATAAATAAATAAAAGCTTTTTTAAAAAATGGGAGTACACTTACCAATGGGGGCCCAGAACCAAGGGAGATGTGGACTTCTTTTATTCACTCATTCATTCCTTCATTCAACACACACAAATAGGTAAATCAATAGTATAAATATGGTAACATACATATTTATACATTACAAGGTTGAGGGAATGGAAAAGTAAGGATAGACTTTCCACTAATTCCCAGCCCATTAATTCCTCAGTGACCGTGGGACTTTATTTATTTATTTATGTATTTATTTAATTAATTAATTAAATTATTTAAAAGATTTTATTCATTTATGAGAGACACAGAGAGAGGCAGAGGGAGAAGTAGGCTTCTCTCAGGGAACTGATGTGGGACTCGATCCCCGGACCAGGATCACACCCTGAGCTGAAGGCAGACACTCAACCACTGAGCCACCCAGGGGTCCCAGTGACCCTGGGACTTAAATCCTTTTTCTATCTGTATTTCTTTCTTTAAGAAAAAACTCAAAAGATGCAGTATCTGATGTTCTGTGGCTATTTTACACGACTAGAGCCTCACCAAAGCCTCAGAGTGGTTTCTAGGAGACATTGTTCATTAAGGTGTCACTAGCACCTTTACCTCATAGTCTAAGAGGCTTTATTTACATTTATCATTATTATCATCAACAGGTGCAATATGCATTTATGGGCTGACACACACTTTCTCACCATGGTTTATTTTTTTCTTGCCCCTCCATTGGCTGGCACTTGTTGCCTGGGAGCCCTCCGCCACCCAAAAATGTCTTCGATGGTTTCCCTTTGCAACAAGATGAAGGCCAAGTTTTTCATGCAAGACCTTTTATGACAGCCTGCCTAGCCACGCACAACAGAGCTTCAACTCAGTGCTCTCCAGGTCTTGCCACCTTGCCCCTTCACATGGGAAGCCTCATGGTACTGAGGTGCCAGTGGATCTTCTTTTGTCCCCTTGGCGATTTCTTTCGTTCATAGAGATTCAGAATTTTCTATCCTTCCAAATAAAGGATACTCTCTTAATTTTGGAGCTCTGTTCTAGATAGCTCCATGACTAGAAGAATTCCTTACAAATTTACACAAAAAATAAAAACTGAGTGGAAGAAAGAGCAAGTGTTTAAGGGGGCCCCAGGGAGGGTAAACATGTCTCGCCTGATTAATTGGCTAGTTCGGGAGTAATTGCTTCCAAGGTGAGTGACAAGGCTCGGTTGCTAGGCTTGCAGGTGCCAGCCGGGTCCTTGCCTTCAGTCAAAGGCGTGTAGGGAAGGAAGGCTGAGCTGTTCAGTCTCAGTATCAAAAAAATACACGGTGTCTGTTCTGGGTGAGCAGGTCTTAGGGCCTATTAGGAGGGAAAGGTAACAATTACAGCCTTTCTCTGTTCGACATGCGGTTGCTTAAAAAGTTCTCCTGTGGGTTCTCTTGGTTTTTATTAAATAGCAGAACCTGGGGGTGGGGGAAGTTGGCTCCAGGACAGCCAAAAGGGCAGAGAGGAGAAACAGCTAAATTTTCAACGCACAAACAATGCCATTTGAAGTAATAGAGTGAATTCAGAAACATTAGGGCAGCTCCTAATTTGGCCAGTGTATATTTCTTAATATCATGGCACTATAATGTCTGTCCCCAACCCTGTGTAGATGCAAACCCCTGTGCTGCAGGCCAGTTGGAAACAACAGTGTAAACAGCCTCTGTTGGCCTAATTAAGTTATGCATCTGCACCCTGAACACTTCGTCAGGCTGCAAATATATTAATAGTCATTCTAAGCCAAGAAGCTTTGCCAAGCCAGATGCTGAAATTACTCTGTTGTTTTGAAACAAAATATACAATAACCTAATATTTGAAGGTGTTATTGGGAAAAAGAGAAGCTTGGGATTGACTTTTCCATGATCATGCACACCTCTGTCATGTTTTTTTGCTTTATTCCTCTTCTGTGGAAGACGCTAAGAATTATATTTCCCTGCCTTTTAGCTCATAATGGCTACATTTTCTTTTTTTTCTACTTTGCCGAAGAATTTGAAGGTGGGTTCTACATGGAGTTCATTTGTGGTGGGTCTTAAAGAAGGAGGAAGATTTAGTGATGAAGAGAGGAAAATAAAGTACAAGTTGGAAGAATGAAAAATAGGAACAATGGAAAGTGGCAGAAAGGAAAGCTACAGAGGGGCGCCTCGCTGGCTTGGTCCATGGAATGCGAGACTCTTGATCTTGGGCGTTGTGAGTTCGAGCCCCATGTTGGGCATAGAGTTTATTTCAAAAACAAACTAACAGGGGCGCCTGGGTGGCTCAGCGGTTAAGCGTCTGCCTTTGGCTCAGGTCATGATCTCAGGGTCCTGGGATCGAGCCCCATGTTGGGCTTCCTGCTCAGAGAGGAGCCTGCTTCTCCTCTCCCTCTGCCCTTCCCCCCATTTCTTCTCTCTCTCTCTCTCTCTCTGATAAATAAATAAAATCTTTAAAAAATGAAAATAAACAAACAAACAATACAGTGTGCTCAGGAAGTGGTGTGTCTATCATTTGGAGCTCGGTGCCTGGAATCATGGGAGCTTGGATTGGTTTTCCTACCCCTGCCAAAGCAAGGGGTCAGCCTACTGTCCTCTTCCTTCCATTAATAGCGGGGAAGGGACTTTTCAAAAGGAGGGAGAGAAAGCACACTGAAGGACTTTATTTCTTCATAGGGTGGATGGGGGCTCATTCTGTGGGTTAATGCCATAGGGTGGAGGGTCTGAGGTATGACATTCAGAGTGAGGAGAAACAGGAAGGCATTCAGGAGTTGAACCTGCATTTTAGAAGTCATCATAAATAAAATATATTCATCTACATTTAAAAAAAAAAACCCAGCTGTTAGAAATGTGGAGGGTTGAAGAAGAGAAACTTCTAAGTCAAAGAGCTTGATATTCTTTAGCCAAAACACTACCTTTACAGGTGGGGGAAACAGCGTTCATTTCCTAGGTGGTCAACAAGCCTGCGTGGGCAGGTACAAAGCCCTTCTCTGAGGATCAGCTGATGTTCTCTGGGTGTTTAAGACTCGAGTGCCCCCCAGGTCCCCTAATCTGAACATCACTTGTGGCCAGTATTCAAATTCATTCCAGGGAAGCTTTAAAGCCCTAAGTAAATGAGAGGAGGTCACCTGGGACTTGTTCCTGTGGCTCCAGCACCCTGTGACAAAGCACCGCTGTGGACCTCCCAAGGGGAGGAGAGGGGCTGGCACCTAATCTCAAAGTCCCAGGATGGGGAATCTGTAGTGGCCCATCCCCTAGGACTGGAAATCCCATCATCTTTTGTTCTAGAAAAAGGTAGGGCGGGCCCCAAAGCATTACAAAGGAGCCGCGATGGATGCTGTTGCTTTTCATTTCAGATCTTGTCACCTCTGTGGCTTTTGTCATTAGAGCATTTTTTTTCTCATTAAGGGTTTGAGAAGGGGGGCCGCGCTGCATCCCGCGGATTGTGCAGGAAGGGTCGCAGGGCCAGGTGATTGCCAGGAGCCACCAGAGGGGACAGCCCCGTGGGACAGCGGCCTGGGGATGACTAGCAGGAAGCAGCACGCCTGCCAGAGCACATTATTTCAACTTTGGCTTTCGCTGGGCTAATTCCCTGCATAGCCAAAACGAGGGGGCAGGGGTGGTGGGGGGAGAGACACACTGGCAACTCCAAGGCAGGACATCTGAGAAGCCAAATCTGCGGGGGGACAGGAGCTGCCGGAGCTGGGGGGTGGCGGCCAGCAGGTGCAGGCAGGAGGTGGGGGGGGGGAGGCTGGGCTTCGGGGACCTGCCACCGGGCTGTGGACAAAGGCGATCCAGAAGCAGAACGAGGCTGCTGGTATCAGCCCGGGGAGGCCTCCCGGGTGACACTGACTCAGTTCCCCGCGCTCCCTTGGGCCAGGAGGCACCGGAGCATGTGCCACAGCCAGGACTCCGAGGCAGAAGAAAGTCTGGGGAAGGACTTGCAGATCCTGGCCGTCTTGCAGCCTCGCCCCCCTGGGAGGCATGCCTTCATCCACGCGCTACCTCTACATAGCTTCGGTCTCCTGCGTGATTGTTTTTATCGTGTGCTACATGTTGGGTTCTGGGGGAGAGCAAAGCTTCCAGAAGCTGAATCACTCAGAGGCTCTGATGCTGACTCAGGTTTGCACATCCTTTATCAAAGGCAAAGCGCCGTTCCCGTGGAGAAACAAACTGATGATACACCAGAGGACTTCGTGCAGGGATTACCTGACCCAGAGCCACTATATCACGGCCCCTTTATCTAAAGAAGAGGCTGACTTTGCTTTGGCGTACACCATGGTCATCCATCACCATTTCGAGACCTTTGCCAGGCTCTTTAGAGCCGTTTACATGCCTCAGAATGTCTACTGTGTGCATGTGGATGAAAAGGCGACAGCGGAATTTAAAGATGCAGTAGAGCAGCTGCTGAGCTGCTTCCCCAACGCTTTCCTGGCCTCGAGGATGGAGCCCGTGGTCTACGGGGGCATCTCCAGGCTCCAGGCCGACCTGAACTGCCTCAAGGACCTGGCGGCCTCCCAGGTGCCCTGGAAGTACGCCATCAACACGTGTGGCCAGGATTTCCCCCTGAAGACCAACAAGGAGATCGTTCGGTATCTGAAGGGTTATAAAGGGAAAAACATCACCCCCGGGGTGCTGCCCCCCAGTCATGCCATTGGCCGCACCAAGTATGTCCACCGGGAGCACCTGGGCAAAGAGCTTTCCTATGTGATCAGAACCACAGCGTTGAAACCACCCCCTCCCCATAATCTCACCATTTACTTTGGCTCTGCCTATGTTGCTCTATCAAGAGAGTTTACCGACTTCGTCCTCCACGACCCACGGGCTGTTGACTTGCTCCAGTGGTCCAAAGACACTTTTAGTCCTGATGAACATTTCTGGGTGACGCTCAATAGGATCCCAGGTATGTGCGATTCTGTGTTTCACATAATGGCGACGTGGTGTACTTGGAAAGGCTTTTCAAGAGCCTGGTCTTTCGTAGTGGACGTAGAAGATGAAAAGTGAAATCCATGGTTCTCGCTCTGGATCCTTTCCAGATGCAGAATCGGGGTCTGGCGTGGCCAAGTAATACCTTTCAGCAGTATTGCCTGACAACTGATCATGGTCTCTTGTGTGCATCTTGCTACATCTTTGCCACAATAGGTATCACTGTTCTCAGTCCATGGTGGTGGCCTTGCTCTCCCCCAGATTTGTCAGACTCGCTCTTACACCAGGGCCGTGGCCTCAGCCAATCTCCTTCTTACCCCCAGACCTTTATAGGCTTTTCGTCAGCCAGATGTCTATAGCTTACAGAGGTTGAGCTCACCACCCCACCCTGTTCTTTCAAAGGAATTTGGAACAATCATTTTTTTCTTTTGGAATAATCATATTTACTTATTTGCATGGGTTTGTTCTTGGCCTCCTCTGTATTATAAGCTCCATGATGTTGGGGTCATTTTCTATCTTGTTGTCTACTGCATGGTGGATAAATTAAATAAATGATTGAGTGATAGAATGAATGAATGAATGAATGAATGAATGGACAAGCATAAGGCTTCACACCATGGTTGTCTCCCTAAGACCCACTGAATTGAAAATATTTGGACTCATGCATATACTGTATCACATGTGTAGAGTTTTGTGGGTTTTTTTTTTTAACATCTTACTTCAGATCACAAATGAGATTCTAGAAGCAGCTCCTTCTCTCATCAAAACATTTCTGCCTTTACTAATGGACGAGATCAATTATTTTTTAAGCTACATAAAACATGATAGGATTTCCTCTGAAGGAAATCGCATGGCTTTGGACTCCATGAAAAGTACTAAATGGATCTCTGATGAACTCAACAGCATTATTATAGCAAGAGAAAAGCAATCATTGTTCTGGTTTTGGGGGGCTGCCAACTTGGAAACACTGGTAGGTGCTCTCAGGCTGCAGGGCAGGGCCTGCTGGGCGATAAACATGCCAGTATTCTCTGGAAAATACCGTGTTTGGTCTCTGAATCCCAGGGTGACTGGCCTGGTGAACAGGGTTTGCTCTTGTACTGTGAGCTCTCTCTCTCCTGACCTCCCTCTCTGCATGACCCCACTTTCACCTCTTGTCTGTTGTTCCATCATCTGCAGATAATTTGGGCGCTTCAGGTCCGTAGAGGCTGATTTTCATATTTAAATATGTAGTCCCTTTCTGTTCTCACTATTCCCTTTTGATGTCTAAAAAGTCAGTACTAGCTATGTGGTTCCTTACATATGGTCTGAGATAAAGGCATTTCATGAACTTAACAAAATCTGGAATCTCTCCTTTTTAAAAAACGACAAATGTGGATTTGGGCTGGAGTTAAATGTCCCTGGTTACTGTGACAGGTGGACAGTCAGTCTGTCAAATCAATAGAAGAAAACCAAGGGAAGAAGGAATCTTTCACCCTCCTCCTTTTTGTTTTTTGTTTTTTTTTAAATCTCCTTAGCCTCCTTCTCTTTTCAAGACCTAGTCCAATAGACAAGGTGAGAGACCAAGACTGATATGTAGATAAGCACAGGAGAGGAAAACATTATTTTTTAAAGATTTTATTTATTTATTCATGAGAGACACAGAGAGAGAGAGAGGCCGAGACACAGGCAGAGGGAAAAGCAGGCTCCATGCAGGGAGCCCAATGCAGGACTCGATCCCGGGACTCCAGGATCACACCCTGGGCCAAAGGCAGGCGCCAAACTGCTGAGCCACCCAAGGATCCCAAGGAAAACATTTTTGCCATAGGTTTGTCATATGCTGCTTTATAGCTTCTCAGAGTGACTGTATGACTCCTTGTAAATCACATAACCTCTTGGAACCTCAAATCTCTCCAACTACCAAATGAGGACCCAGGTAAGAAGACCCCCCTTTGTCTCTACCTATGCCTTTCACTGCAGAAGACCATGGAATTTGTAGGAAGGTAAAAATTCTGGTGAGTCTGGATTCTGGGTTGACCATTAGCCTTGGTGAATGCATCCCATTTCCTTTGGAGGAAAGGAAGAGCTCCCCCAAGGACATCCTCCAGGGAGGAAGGCAAGTACCACCCAGGATCAGTGATCCCTCAGGTGATTCTGCAAGGGATGCATTACAGTCTAACAGGACGTCTCCTGCGGCTTTGCCTCCTTCCTTTCCTAGACGCTGGATGGCATCCTGGTTCAGGGAGAAAGGATATCCTGCTTGTAGGTGGGGCCTTCCTGAATTGCAAGTTTAAAAAAAAAAAAAAAAAAAAAAAAAAAAAACCAATTCATCAAACGCTCTAACCCATGCTGGATGTCTCCATCTTCAAAGGCAATGTAAAATCCAATCACACACTCAAGTAACTCCGGGGTTTTATGCTTGAATATTCCTCGTGACTTAAGATTTAGTGTGTGAATTTGGTTCTTGGTTACCAACCAACCTTTAACGATACTAGCTCTTCTGTTTTCAATGTCAGGTTAAGAAAGGAAAAAACGAGTGGGAAATATCAGAAAGGGAGACAGAACATGAGAGACTCCTAACTCTGGGAAACGTACTAGGGGTGGTAGAAAGGGAGGTGGGTGGGGCACTGAGGGGGGCACTTGATAGGATGAGCACTGGGTGTTATGCTATATGGTGGCAAATTGAACACCAATAAAAAATAAATTTATAAAAAAAAAAGAGAGAGAAGAAAAGTCCTTCCGCAAGTACAGTGTCAACATCTTTTCTCAAAAAATTAAAGTACAAATAGTGTTGTTCCTTTCCTCCTTCAAAAGTCCCTTCCTCTCTTCTACCACACATCCTAAATTAAAAGGGTTGTGTTAGAAAGACGGTGCATGGGTGCATCAGATTCTCCAAATCACCCACAAGAGTAACAGGGACCAAGAACATGACTAGCTCCTTATAATTAGATGACAGCAGAAAACCAAGTGAAATTGGTTTAAGTTGGTAAGTAAGACTCAATAAAAAGTACCTTCACAGAGGTAGCACCGAATCACATAGTTTCATGTAGCTTTTCTTCCCCTCATGTTCTCTTTCTATTGAGAAAATGATTTCTCTCTTGGTTCTCAACCCCCTAGGCTTTTCCCATATTGCAATGGAATTAGAAACGGTATTGAAATGGGCCAGAAAGAGTCCCTTGGGGAAAAGAGGCCCCAGTCTCACATCCTGCTTCAGCAGTGGCATCGTTGGAATGATGCCACTCTATGTGGCTCCTGGACAGACAAACAGTCTAGACCTCTCCCTCAGGCCATATTCCCAAAGAAAACCCTCCAGGAGCACAATTTTCAACATTTCTCTGATCGACACCGCAGAACACCAGGCTCTGCTTAGCAATAGTCCACCTTGAATTCTGGTGTGTGCTTTTATTTTCCAACTGATCAGATCTTTGTAATCATTGATCTATGTCACCTCGGAAAAAGACCAAGTTCTCTAACTTTTCTGGTTATTCCTATAACATTGTTTTTGGCCTACCTGCCCCATGGTCACGTGCCAGAGGCCATTTAAGTCTTTGCTTTCAATCTTGTGGATTTGATCAGTATCTGGAGAAACAGCTATTGGGCTGCTGTTTTGCAAGTCCATTCCCGTGGCTAAATTGTCTTCTGGTCCCACTTTAGGGCCAGTCCTTTCCCAGCTACTTCCCCCACCACCACCCTCTCTCTCGCGTAAGTTTGTTCTTTTGAATTTTTGCTCATGCATTACTCTGACCTTTCTCATGCCATGCGGTTTTTCTTCCATAAGAATGTTTTCATTTGCCTCTCTTCCTTTTTCCATTTTGTATACATTTTTTTTCAGAGCCCCTTCTTCAAATAAATTATCTCAACCTCAGAAGTGACCGCGTGATCACATTTCCGCATTTTTCAAACCTAAAAATAGCGTGTTTCCTACTTCAATTTATTTTGCTTTTTTCACTTTGAGTTTTATTTATATGGGCACATTCTTTGGGAGTGTGCTCTGACTCCTTAAGTGGCAAGTGACAGAAACACAACTGAAAGTTGCTGAAATAGATCCCAGAACCCCCTGGGTCACAGAATTGAGATGCTCAAGGGCTCCAAATAAAGCTAGATGCAGAGTGGAAACAATGTATTCAGGACTCTCTCTTGCCAGGTGGTCTCTCCGGGGGTTAGAAACCATCCCTATTTCTCCAGAGCTAAAGGGAGGTCTGAGCAATGCTCAGTGCTAGAATTAGGAAAGTCCCAGGTGCACTGGAACAAGTTGGTCACCCTCTCTTTCTGTGTCACCCCCATTCAAGAAAGTCAAGAAAGGCAAGAAAGTCTTTTTCCTGAGAGTTCCAGCAATAGTTTAAGAGAGTCCTCAGATTGGACCTCCTCAGTCTCAATTCCTATCCCTAATTAAACTGGATGGGGAGGGGGTGCAGTGAAGGATGCTGACCAGTTCTTCTTGGGTCACTTTCCCAAAGGGCAGGCAATGGAGGAAGATGATTCCTTAGGGTGACACTTGTGAGGTGACAGCACAACTCCCCACTGCAACATGGATCCTGGTCCTGTGGGCAGAGTGCTAATGAGCATCTCCACCTGGTCTTTGAAGGGCGAGATTTAGCCGAGTTATAAAACTTTAAGCCCTTGGGCAATTGTAATTTGGAGAATACTAGTTAAATTACTTTCGTGGAGGTGGCATGATCTCAATAAGCTTATCCTTTCTGCCTCATAAAAGCATTTTTAAAAAAGATTTTATTTATTTATTCATGAGAGATACAGAGAGAGAGGCAGAGACATAGGCGAGGGAGAGGCAGGCTCCCTGAGGGAGCCTGATGTGGGACTCCATCCCAGGACCCCGGGATCACGACCTAAGCCAAAGGCAGATGCTCAACCACTGAGCCACTCAGGTGCCCTAAAAGATTTTTTTTAAAGATTTTATTTTTAAGTAGTCTCTATATCCAACATGGGGCTCAAAAGCACAACCCTGGGATCAAGAGTCACATGCTTGGGGCGCTTGGGCCCTTGGGTGGCTCAGTTGGTAAAGCATCCAACTCTTGATTTTGGCTCAGGTCATGATCTCAGGGTCGTGAGATTGAGCCTCAAGTCAGGCTCTATGCTCAGCACAG